CATCAATATTATAAAGTCCTCTGTTTTTCGTTGTTGTTATTGTTTTAACTTCACATGATGTTTTATTGATTACAGAGTAAAAGTTTTGTTTAATTCATTCACAAAGTTGCACCATGTTTTCCAGGCATCATCACCACGTAAACGTTGCGAACAAAAGTTTTACTCCGTACAAATGAAAATCTTGTGTGAAAGTTATTTTTCTTATATTTATTCAATATGTTGTTAGTAGAACTGCATGGATATACACGTAGATTGAGCACTTTCTTTCACTATACGTTTATGTAATGCCTTATCTTAAGTATTACCTCACCCCCTAAAATAATGTTTCATTCCTACTTTTGACTTACACTGCAGTGTGTATTATCATTCATTTCTGATCAAAGCGAGCTACTTACAATAGGTAATATAGTGTGCCGTTATTACTTAAAATTTGATTAGAATGTTTGTTTCATCAGTTGATTACCCTGGCTTTTAACGATATTTTCAGTTGTCATTCAAATAACTTCGCACAAGTTGCAGCCAGCTTAACAGATTTAGATTAGTCCTAAAATCCACATACTTGAGATAAAATTACAAAATAATGCTCATAATAAAAACTATATAAAATATGCATGGATATTTTTTAAAATAAATAAATAAAGTAAATATATATATGTATTAAACATTTCAAACAATACTCTTTTAAGAAACTAACATTCAAGAAGAATTAGTCGCTGTACATTGGCCTAAAAATGTGATATTTTCACTAGATAATTGTTATGTTTTATAATACTTCCCCAACTCATGATTTCAACTAGTGTTACGACGTAATGCTAATCTAACATATGGTTTCAACTAGTGTTACGACGTAATGCTAGTCCAACACATGGTTTCAACTGGTGTTACGACATAATGCTAATCCAACATGTGGTTTCAACTTATGTCACGACGTAATGCTAGTCGAACACATGGTTTCAGGTGGTGTTACAAACTTCGATTATTTATTTATGAATAGTGTATCGTTTTCAGGTAAATAGAAGTGAAATATTAAAATCGGTAAAGATCTTGGTTTATCTTAAATATTATGTACAAATATATATGGTATCGTAAAATGATCTGATTAAAAAAAAAACAAGCTACATTTGTAACTTAAAACCCATCATCATCATCATGTCCCTCCATCTTTCCCGGTCCCAGGCACTTGTGATTACATCAGTCACCCTCTCTGTGTGTAGCCAAATTGTTTAATTTAAGGTGTTTTTGATTTGATTATTTTAGTGCAAACAGATTGCTTTAAGTCCGAGTGGGGAATTGAACCTAATTTAACCACTGAGCCACCAGGAATCCCTTGAGAGAAAACAGAAGTTTTGTCATAAAAGTTACTTGAATGAAATTGTTTAATGACCTAAAATAAATAGTCCTTTATTATTATTAAATGACGGGTTTGGTTGAAAATCTAAGTATTAGTTACGCATTTATTTTAGTTTGTTTGCATTTTTTTTTAATTCACGAAAAGCTAGAAAGGGCTCTGTACTAGCCGTTTCTAATTTAAAAGACAACAGCACCCACCACCAACTCTTAGACTGCTACTCTCATAGACAGTGAGATTTGATAATGACTCTTATAGTCCACCGTAATCCAAAGTGCGATTTGTTTTTTCGTGTGTGATAACGAGACATCGAACCACTGACCTTTCGATCCACAGTCCGACGCACTAACCACTCACAAGGCCTTGACCAGACCATCACATACATAATTCTTATTTACACGTACCTAATCCTGTTTTACACCTAGTGCCAGTTGGTGAGCATTTCCATGCAAGTTTGAAGTAAAATCTGAAATCTTACACAAGTCCCTTTGAGCCTATCCTATTTTAGTATTATTACGTGAAACCATTTTAACAGCTGTACGAAACTTTATTACACGCCATGGAAAAAAAAATGACTTGGTATTGTTTGCTGAATTTCGCTAGTGATCGACTACAGGAGAGACAACTAGTCAATACACATACACCACCCAACTCCAATTCTTGGGGCTGCTCTTTGACAATAAATAGGGGGATTGATCGTAATTTTAACGGCCCCACAGCTAAAAAGGCGAACATGCTTGGCAACAGATCTCCATTCCACGACCCAAAAATTGCTAGTAAATCACCCTAACCACCAGGCCATTATTTGGTAATTAGTATTTACAAAATATTCTTCATATGCATGAATTCATTTATAAAATGTTACACTGACACGCAGTCTATAGATCCCAGCTTTGGCACTTGGATCCACTGATCCCCGCCAAGCACGTTTGCTTCATTTTGTTTCGATAACTTGTCAAAAACGGCTGCCGACTTGCTCCTTCTTAAAGATCAACCGGCCTCTGCTACGCCTTGGACTTGCCTTCACTTCTGCCTACTTGCCTCACCATTATACGTATATATACGAGAATATATATGTGTAAATTGTTTTTGTTATTTATTCGCCCATACAGCTCATTAATCCGCTGACCATTAATTGAAATTTAACCTTATGCCTCGAGCAGGGTGAAGGAGGATTGCTAATCTTCGAGAATCCTGGATTAGTAATTATTTTTAAATCAAAATAACTGCCAAAAACGAACGACACACAAGTTGAAGTTGTTTTTTAAGGCTTTTATGTTGTATTTCAATTTCTAACCAATTTTATATTTTTGTTATCTCCTGTGTTAGGAAATAATGATTGACGTTTTTATTGTAGGATATTTTAAGTTGATTTTTCTCTTCTTACATACTTTTTATTGCTTAAGTAGGTCACTGAGCATTAAAAGTTGGCAACTATAAGGCTATCAAACAAGCACCATAAGAACGTAACAAGATATAAAAAGCAATTAGATTTCATAAATAATATAGTGATACTTGATTTCAGAAGTATGAAAGTGAAATATTTTACATTATTACAGAATGATTCTGTTTTCTTATTTTTACGAATCAACTGATAAGCAAAATTTTGTAACATCACATAAAAGACAGTATTGGCACAGATTATGAATATTAGTAATATGGCATTATTTCACTATCATGGATATACTCAAGCACTGAAAAATATTCCTCTGAATCACCAAGTGTGACTGAAGAACCTCATACACAGAGTATTTTTAAATACGAGTCACTGCCTTATACTAAGTTATAATACCACCCGAATAATTATGGAAACACGGAATAAAATGATAATGCAAGGAATAGTTTTTCCATCATAATCTTACAAATTTTCTAAATATACTTAATTTTGGATATTTTATGAGATTGAAAGTCTCATTCTTAAAATAAAAGTTTATCTTGTGAATCCATTCCTAGTCTAAGAACAAAAGGAAACTTTCAAGATTATGCCTATCGATATGTCTTGTAAAATACAACCTAAGCAATACATGAGTATACTATCAACAATGGTTAAAAACAAGAACACCAAGTATTTCTTATCTGTATCTAAATTTAAGCAGATATAATTCGCTGTTGTTTAGGTCTTTTCGAATTTTTTGTCTTTTAATTTTTAATAACTTAAAACAAGAATCATGTGAAATGTATTTAAAATAAATGTAATCTTGAAATATTACTTTCTAAAATCTTCTGGTCTGAATCTTTTCTTCAGTTCAATCTTTAATCTAATTTCCACTAGATTACAAGTTATTGAACCCAAAGAACTTATGATAACTTCAGCATGAACCATCATATTGGCATTATTTTACATATCTTGTCCATAAATCATAAAATTCTTTCTCACGGTCAGGCTCCGAAACAACACTGAATTACACAAAATAATCTCAAAGCTAACTTAACCATCCAGTTTCAGAAGAATGGATCCATACTTTTCAGATCAGTTTTGGGTCTGCTGCTTCTTTGATGTAAAGTGGTAACACAGAACTTACAACATTTACAATAACATTTTATTCGTGTGGGTTTGGACGAGACATTTTTATTCATATACATATCATGTATTGATAAAAAGAAAAAAAGTGAAACTCAAATCTTACTTAAACTTCCAATCAATTTCTCAAATTGTTAGAGGTTATTAATACACTTCCCTTTATATATAATAATAACATCATGGAGCTACAGAACCTGTTTGAATCCACACATTTGTTTGAAGCCTTAACATAATGTAATGTTTCGAGTATGAATGATATTAAGAAGTTAATATAATTACTATCTACTGTCCAACAATCTCCCATGATGCTTTACTGTAGCTCCCCACTAATGTTAAATAAGTGTAGCTTAACAGAAAATGTTTATAAAAATGTTTTCAATTATTCTTTCATATATATTAACATTATTTACAACTACAAAACCAAAAAAAATACCTAGAAAAAATTATTTAATTGTTGGTAAAGCATCACAATATTATATAAGCTTTTATAATAGTGAATGACTGGTTTCAGTTAGACTGTATTGGTGGAATGATAAATGTTCAATATTACATTTTCAAACCTGATAATATTAAATTCCAAGTTTTAAACTTTCAAACCAAGGTATATAAATGTACAATATAAACAAAAGTTACCACAGACATCCTGAATGTCTATGCAATTCTTCTATATAAACAAAAGTTACTACAGACATCCTGAATGTTTATGCAATTCTTCTATATAAACAAAAGTTACTACAGACATCCTGAATGTCTATGCAATTCTTCTACTTCCTCATCACTCAACACAAATAAATTTTAAGTGTACAATAATTACCATTTGCTAATAAATGAATAGTTCATTTGGATGTTTGACAAAAGTAGAAATACCATGTAACAAAAAGTGTTATTAACACATACATAAACCAGGTAAATTAATATGTAGAATTATACACGTTAAAAAAACTTTTATTTGCAAGCTTTCAGTCCTCTTACCAGAGCCTTCATCGGCCAACAATGTCACAAATAAAAGTATTTTAATTTAGAGAAACGTCTGTGTATAATTCTACAAATACATAAACGAGTTACAACTACTGTGATAGATTAAATGTTATGTAGTAACAGGCAAATATCAAACTTTTTTAACAATGATTATAAGAAGTTTTCTAATGCAAATAACTTCACCTGATATACCGTGAAGTAAAATCAATAAACTCTACTTTACAGACACTGAACTAAGTGGTTACAGGCTTTTCATAAATACATAAAAGTCGACCAAGCCAAGGAACACACAATGCAGCTTAGTTTTTAGTAAACAAAAAACCAAATGAAGCATTTACAAGTCATATTTCCCAGAATGATAAAAGTTCATGCATATCCTAATAACCCTGGAAATTTAATTTAGTGAAACTATGCATAAAACACAGTGAAATATATCAAGAATTACTAAAAATCTAAGTCTCTTTTTAAAAGATAGTGAAATATTCTGGAAATACATACACGTACGTGTGTGTATACATTTTTGCTTTTGGTAATGGAAAGTAGGGACTTTTTTTGTTTCTTTACCGAATATTAAAATGATTTATGTTAAAATTGAACAAGGAAAGCTAACTTGAATTATGCAATTTGAATATAATCCAGTGAACTTGATACTTATGCAGAGGGAGTTGATTTGGAAGTGTCAGTAGTGTGGCAGTTATGTTCAAAATTGGCCCCAAGTGGAAACTATTAATAAATTTCAGTTCTGTTTCCTATCTATATGTAATACAGAAATATTGCATGGCTTGAAGACCAATAGAGGTAACAAAAGTGAATTAACTTTGAACAAACTAGTTTTCTTCTGTATAAATTAAGCAAGTGTTCTTACAGAAGGGACAAAGGTTTGGTAAAAGTTTCTGTACTGTCTGTCAGGCATCAGAAAAGTATGTGGACAAAGTGATAAGATTGCCCAATCCCATGTTCACTAATTACAAACAACACATCCACAGAAGAAAATATTTTTTTTTAGTTATAGAAAGAAACTCCAAAATATGATTAGTTGTTTTGAATTCTAACAGCAACCAGACCCTTGTGGCTTTACAGGAGTGCTAGGATTTATCTTATCTCCAGGTCGTATTCCTTCTCCACCAGTTGTTGGTGGACCCATACGGTTCTTGATCTCTGCTGCCATAGTCATAAAGGCCTGCTCTACATTTGTGGCATTCTTTGCACTTGTTTCTAAGAAAGGGATGCCTAACTGGTCTGCAAACTCCTGAAGGAAAAATAAAAAACAATAAATATAAGCAGGTTAACTAACTATGTTAACTGTACAAAAATAAGGACATTATATTACTCTATACCTACTACTATCTATATATACATTTCAGTTCAAAATATAAAGAGATTCATTAATTCTACCTAAATATATTTTCTTCAGTGCTCACGATATGGGTTAAATCTTTGTCATTTCTAACTGAAAAAACAGTAATTTATACATCTTACAATATTTAGGACATTTTACAGCCTTGGAAAATATGATGTTTGTCGCTTCAACAGTATTACAGATAGCAAATGTATACTTTGCTGCAACCAAAAACTTTCACTGGTGCACTCAAAAATGTATTCATATCACAACCAATAATGTACAGCTCACGTAAATTTTAAAAAATAATAAACTCTCCTTTCTCATTACTGCCTTATGACAAGACTACAGTGGACAGAATATTGTTAAAATTGAAAATTATGTATAGCAATAACCAACAGTAATTTGAAATGAAAAGCATGTTCAATAAACCATAAGATTAATAGCAAAATGAAGGAAGAAAATGCAAAAAACAAATGATGTAGAGAAATTTAAAAATAATATAGAATACAGTGGAAAATAAAGTACTGTAAATCAACAGTAAACAACTCACCATGTGGTCTGGCCTTGTGTAATGGCTGTTAGAAAACCACTTAGCATTTTAAACTACTAACAGAACTACTAGTATAAATTTTAATTGTATGTCTCATCATTTTCAGAAACATACTACTGTTAACGCTGATGAAACAATGCAATTAAGGAAAACCACGAACAGATACATCTGCAGAAAAGCTCAGCCCAATAAATGTATTGACCAAAATGTCCTTGAGGTTGAACTTGTCTCTCTGGATAAACTGATTTAATTTTGTACTGTTTACCAGGCATTGCTACAAGCAAAGTCAATAAGCTTTTAATTGTCCAAAAAATGAATTGATTGGAAATTCGTTTTTCAGAACTCGAGCTGGACTACAATAAATGATAATCATTGCACCCAAGTCTTATAAATGCAGACTTACTGAACAAATTGAAGCACAGTCATGTGTTTGGCATTATTGTGAAAGAGACTAAACATTTATCAGTGCAGAAATGGTTGCGTATTTATGCTATTGATGTCAATAACCTGACACAAGATTTCTAGTAAAAATAAGAATGACACATGGTGAGGCCAATACCAAAACGAATTAGTCTTAGACTACATGGTGAGCTTAGTATAACCACCACATTAGTACTGTAGTACTGATGACGGGCAGAAAAAATGGGGCTAGAGTTAAGCTTAAAGCATTCCTCCCCTTTTCTTATGCATTTTTACTCTTTAGCAAACAAACATACTTTGATTTCTGGAGCAGCAGTAAAAGGTATCACATTCCTAAGCAAGTTCAGATGTTGTCTCTCCATAGCATATTATAGTTTCTCTTATTGAGTATACAAAGTCAGGAGATGAAGTGAAATAAATGAAAAGAACTAATTTCAGTTATATGGCTCAGCATTAGGAATGCCGTATATGCAATTCACAAGAGCTCCTCTATTCTGCCTATCCTGTCTCAGTTATCTGCTGATGGAAATCTAGTGGCTCTGCACCTAGCAGCATACTTTTATATCTTTAACTCTACATTAGTCACACCTTTTATGCTGGATGTACGTGACAAACTAGCTGTGTTGTGCTAAGACATTTCAAAAGGAGTCCGAGTTTTTGAGAGATTATGCCAGTGATTGAGGCATATGTGACAGTGTTAAGATGTCTTAAAGGAAATACATGGCCATTACTTGTCAGAATTTAGAAAATGCGTCTCTATAAATTAAACTACTGCCAAGGTGTTCAAAATTAAAAATTCTCAAGTTGAGCTTGGTAAATTACATTGATAAAGCAGAAAGATAATTTTAGTCTTTGATGTTGAAGTAGATTGATTCTTTAAAAGAATGAATCCTTCAGCAAGTAATGACCCTTCTGTAGTAGCTCAGTTTCAGAGTTGTAGCACTCTGCTTAACCCAAATGCCTTCTCTTGGACAGAACAGCACAAAGTGAAAGAAGTTTTAGAACATGCTGAGGGTTGGTCTAAGGTACAAATGGCAACCAATTGAAGAGAGAGTTGGAAATGGTAAATAGCATAAATGGAAGCTACACAAAATGTAGGGTTAATTTTTGTAAAATTAACTAATGGGGGCTGTTTTTCTTTCCACTTAAAAGTTGTGGAAAGAAAGAAAACACAGGAGGAAAGCTAGACTTTTTAGCCATATACAGTCATAAAAACACAGATAAAAGGAACCATGTCTCCCTACTGTGATACAAGAAATGTTGCCTAATTCTTGGATATTTAGGTTAAATCTGTCAGGTTGTATTTACGTTCATCATTACTGTAAATGAAGTCAAGACATTCTAGTTCAGGATAAACACACTTTTGTTACATTTTAAAGTTAATTCCATTTGTGAACTAATGTGATTGTTTGAAACACCGTAGAATTAAGTAATAATGTCAGCGAGTCTGAGGCTCAGTCCTTCACATCAAAGAAACAGTTGAATACTTTATCTCAGTAGTAAAATGCCAGAGAAGTGCATTAAACACAATAACTAATACATATGTAACGAATGCAATTTATGTATACTATATTTATTCTTAGTAGCCTTTACTAACTGTATATTTCCCAAGAAATATTGAATCAATTAGACTGAAAAACGTATTCAAAACATGTACTTTTATATTTTAACTATGATAGGCCTATCAATACTGTAAAAAAAAAGAAAATAGAAGACAACACAGTTATAACTCCATAATTTTTCCTTAAGGTGACCACAATTTTCATTTTTAGCTGATTTAATTCAGAAAATTAATACTGAACAAAATTTCACCCTGAAATAAAAAGCAACTGTATTAACTTTGACTTATTTTATTATAACAAAAATCAACTACTGTTCATCATAAGAAATATTATTACTGCTGACAAATTTTGGGAGTGACCACTACTGACAGGATACAAAATATCTGAAGCACAATCTTTAATAAAATATTATCAGAAGACTTTATCATACATAAAATTGTTTTAAACACAGTTTTATATCTGCAATCAAAATATAATTGACAAAATGCAACTTTTATCGAACCTTTGCTGTCGTGTAATCCACAACTTTTTTTGTTGTCAAATCACATTTGTTTCCAACTAGAAGTTTGTTCACATTTTCGCAGGCATATCGATCAATTTCTTGAAGCCACTGTTTCACATTATTGAATGATTCCTGAAACACATAGACGATAGTTTGTTGACCAATCATAATTATGGTTAAAACAGACAATTAAATGTAATACTATTACTATTCATGTGTAAAAATTCTTACCACAAGAAACTTACATACAAGGTGGTCGGGCAAGATAAAGAAACCAACAACACTTATTTTCAGACCTGTAGTAAGAGCTTCATTACTCACAAAATATTCCAACTTTCTTTTATTTATTTAAGAGTTAAAATAAAAAATGGCCAAAATACATTAAAACCAAACCATCATTTAAAATTTCTTCAAAATAAAATTACAGGAAATCAGTTTAGTTGTTTATGGTTGAATCAAAACCCTGAAATCATCCACTCTCATTGTATACAGGCTCAGTCACTTTGACCAACCCTGTAACCACCAGGCAATCATTAAAGCATATGTACTATAACTTTTAATCTAGTAAATGTATTTTCACAAAATTTGGCAATCTTTTAGTGAACACTACAATCCTTTTCCAAACAAAAAAATCAGATTTCTTAATTAAGGTTTTTACTAAAAACTTGACTGTGAATTTATGAAGTCAAAGTGTGACTCAGATTCTGACTAGTCTGAATGCAAGGTGATTTTTATTTCAAGATAAAATCAGTATTCATCTTACAGTTAACAAATTTCATTTGCATAATCTTTAATACTTCCCAAATGAATAGTTATTTTTAAGTAAATCTATATCCTAACACTATACAGACTCAGTCCTTTTCATCAACCTTATAACCACCATAAAAAACATTAAATTAATCTAAATTTCTCTTCTTTTTTTTTCTTTCTAGAATGATGCAGACTGCAACAGAAAATTACAATTATTTATACTAAACAGCTTAAAGCTTATAACAATTTACCTCTGTTTTTATTGTCTTATTGCTCATTGAATCATGTTTGACTAATAACCCCACAATAATAGCTTTAAATCCCATAGCAAACGCATAGCTCTAGTTATGGTATTGAAATACAAAATACAGAATTTGCTTGCAAACATACTCTACAGAGAAATGTTTTGTTTTTCTTCATTATTTAGTCTAACAAGTTTCTAATTTTTATATTCTAATTACTCTTATAACAGCAACTAAAAATAATATACGAAAAACAAATTTATTACTTATGTTTGGCCTCTTGTGTTTTTGCTGTCAGCCTCTATCAAAAACTAAACCCAATCTTCTTGTAACATAAGTAGTAGTACAAAAAATATATTCTATTTATTTCATACAAGCATTTAAGAACACAAAATAATAACACACACAAAGCACACTATAAATATTATAACGTTTTTAACTGGTTTGATAACTAAAATATAAGTGGCTGAAAATAATTTTCTTTTCTGGTCAATCTGAACTTGGCAATAGCAACTTTAAATCTATAGATTACATAACTCAAAAGCTGCCATAAGAACAAGTAAACATTATACAACATTTGGTAAACTAAAACTTTGTCTTTATATTGATCTTATGACATCTTATGAAAGAGAGGATGTGATAGGATAGTGTGGCAAGTAGATTTGACTTTCTGGTTTATATCTCCATAAATAAAGAAGATTGAAGGCTATAAAAATTAGACTTTGCCCTAATAATATCTATATTGTAATGGGTACTTTATATAAAAATCAGGACATCATATACATGTGGAAAAGAAAATGAAAAAGGGCAAGTCAGGGCAAACAAATGTCATGATACAGACAATCATGGATTGGAAATTTATTTAAATATTTTCTTTTGAAATCAAGAAATTAAAACATATATATATATTATTAAAATTTCAAAATTATATTTCAATGCAAAGTTCATTCGTATACATTGATAATAAAGTAGTTTAATTAATTTTTGTATGTAATTCTGTAAAAAGTTGTGACATGCATATGTTTATCTATCCATATCAAGAGAGTTAAGGTTGGTTTAATTCATTATTGATAGAATGATCTAGTTCAAGAAACCCAAAATTTTATGAAATGAAGAAACTCTGTATAATTTTACTGTTTCCTTAAATTTACTAAACCATAAAAGAAACACATGTGGCTGAATTCCATTATCCTTTTTAACCCTTATCAACAAACGACCAAATAAAATTACAAGTTCATGTTTAATGAAGAACCTACTGAACTAAATAATTAATTTAAAAATGCAGAAACAGCAACTTTTACAGTACATATATTCTGTTTAATTTGACCCATAGTATCTGAACTTTACCTGATAACCCGATATTATGGGTCAAAACACTGTAATAATTAATATCAAAACTTGTCTACTGTAAAAGTTATTGCATTCTAGAATACGTTGAAAAATCATTTCTTCACCTTTTTTTTAGTGTCTTTTCATATTTTTTGAGAATATTAATTAGACCCACTTGCCATGCCCACCTGTCACATTCTCTCTTTCACAAATTGCCATTAGTTCTCTCTGACATTTTAAACTATATTATTTATAACAATAGAAAGCCAGAGTTTTATCTATCATTATGGGTAGTTCAAAGCACACATAACAACTTTTTAAAATGTTACATTCAAACATTTATTAGCATTTTTGCAATGACTTCCTGTATTTTACGTGACCTTGTAACCACCATGTAAACATATTTTAATTTTGAAAATACTTAATGTATCTACACAAAATTTTGCAAGCTTTTAGTAAACACTAAAGGTCTTTTGTAGTCAAAAAATCAGAATTTTTAATTAAGTACTTTTACTAAAACTATTTCTGTAATTATATGGAGGCAAAGTATCAATTGATTTACAACCTGTGGGGTAGGATTATTGGTTAGACACGGGTCAAAAAAGCTATAAAAACAATAAAATTGAAGTATAAATAGATGTAGACCATTACCAGCTTTACACTATTTAGGATAAACAATTCTAGTTTCCTATTACAATTTGCACTCATTCTAGATAGAAAAAAAGGGTAATTTAGATTTATTTCATATATTTTATGGTGGTTAAAAGGTTAGTCAAATTAACTGAATACATATAGAGTTATTAGTAGAGAAAATAACTAATAAAATATAATTTTACTGACAAAAAAAGGTTTTAGAGATTATGCAAATGAAATTTGAGAATTTTCAGGTGAAGCAAAGTATATTAAATCTTAACATGAAAATCACTTTGCACTTGGAGTAATCAACACTCTAACTCCATATATTCAGGGAACAAATTTTAGGTAAAAATACTTACGAAATCTGATATTTCCTGTACAAAAGACTTATAACACTTACTGGAAGCTTGCCAAACTTTGAGAAGATCCACAAAACATTAAAAGTTATAGTACAGAAACTGAGGCTTACTTTGAGGTCACAAGGTCTATGTAACTCACTGAACCAATAATGAGATGGTTAATATACAAATTAAATTTAAATAGATTTTGTGTCATAAACACTTATTACTACATTATACAATATACATGTTGTGATATGATCAGGTATCTGGACAGAAAATATAAAACCTACCTGATCTGTTACATCATAAACAACAATAATCCCATAAGCTCCTCTATAATAACTGGATGTAATAGTTCTGAATCGTTCCTGCCCTGCTGTGTCCCACTGAAACACAAACTACAAGTGTGAATATAAAACTTTTGTGTCAAATGTCATAGATTCTACCTCTTTGGTCTTTAAAACAAAGAATTAAATGTTTCTGTGCTACTGAGATGGAACATACTTTCAGACAGATTGATCACATTTAAAATAATGTTTTAGAAAAAAATACAAACTTTGTGTGATAATCATGTTTTGATGTAAACAGAAATTCAGTTTTAAGTATTTTTTGTTATATGAGAGATGAAAATACCAAAGACTGACTTATCACCATGAACAATTAGTCACACATTAGAGGTTACATAACTGTTAAACTTGATTAAACATTTATTTAGATACTAGCCTACATTGTATACGCACAATATTTAAATAAATCTTCTATTTCATTCAAATTACTTACAATCTGTAGCTTGATTGTTTTCCCATCTAATTCTATTGTTCTGATTTTCTGTGGTGATAGAGGAAGATAAATATTACTCAGCAACCCTATGAATCAATGTTGACATTTTTTTATTGAACATGTATTAAAAACATCTGTAAAAAAACTAAAATAGTTGATCTTCATTAAGGTGGTGGACTTAAAACAGTGAAAACTCAACACTTGAAATGATCATGCATAAATTGAACACTAGGTACTAATTTGGAGTACAGAACTAAGAAATCTCTCAGTTACTATTTTATTAAAAAATTTCATTAAACTCTGAAAATAGAGTTAATTATGATTTGTACAGTCTCCTCTGTTTTTCCAAATTGCAACTAAAGGTGTTAATTGCAAGGATGATTTTACTCTAAATTAACTGAACTGTTCTCAAGTATAAATATACCAAAATATAAAAAAATAACATAGATTTGTTACTACCCAACCCATTGTTCAAAAACCAATTCATTAGGTCTTACACATAAGCTTGTCTTAAACTAAATTTTACACTAGTTATCCCAATAATGGAAAATTATATGATCAACTATTTCAACAAAACACAAATGAATCATTCTTACACTATATTCAAAACTACCAAAAGAAATAAAATCTAATATTCTGAAACCTTGCAATTCATAAGGTTTCAATTAATTACACCATGAATTCTTTTCTCTCCTTAAGTGTATTAATTTTACTTGTACTATAAAATACTACTTATCACAATGTTTATAAGCAAACTTACATAATCACACTTAGAAATATATAATTAATCATTTTTCAACTGAAATTCATGGGAATAACTAAAAAAAGAAATAGCCGATTTTCTTTAATTTTGGTAAGTTGTACTGAATTCTATGGTTACTAATTAATTTTTTTCATATCCAAACTTAGTTTTTATGTACATTAATTACTGTTTTGGATATTTTTATAATACATACAAAAAATTTTTGGGAAAATACACATAAATTGTTCTTTTCATTACAAATATAAAATAAATTAGATCATTTTTGACAATTATTATGAACTTTCTAAATAGATAAAGCTACACTATATTGTTACGACAGCGGAAGTCATGTGACGCTGGAAGCATGCACGCTGGAGTTTCTAGAAGGATCATGACTGTTCCTGGCAACTCTAGTCTTTTCTATGTGCCCTCTATTTTAGTATATAATCCCTGCCAAATAACTTGCAGATAGACAGATATAGAGATAGATAATGGAGTCAAGTCGTAAGTAAAGTGCGTGAGTCGTTGTGAATTACAGCATGTGTTTAAGTTAAAGTGACTGTGGAAATTAAGTGTATTGCAAAGTTGTATTGAGAAAGAATAAACTAATTTTATTTAAGAAAGGACTTGTATCGCTGAAGTTCTTCGGAAAGAATTTTTACAGGAAATTAACAAACGACCAGAGACGTAACAATATCTATTTTCTTTAGAAATATGTTTAAAAGCTTGGGGAAAGATGAACAAGATATGTAGAATTTCAAAGAGAATGTTATGAAAGAAGACAATTATTGGGATCTTGATGACAGAAGAACCTAAAAGATAATTTATATGGTGCCCTCATGGCATAAAAGCTTAATAAAGTAGTTATAGGAAAGGCTAGAAAACGTATCCAACAAATGGGTAAGGTTAAGAAGACTGCAGTAGACTCACACAAGAGAAAGCAGTGGTTGGTGATTCCTTTTGTAGAACAGAGAAGTATGTTGGGTAAACAGGGTAAAAATTAGTAATATTCAGGTCCTGGAAGCTATGATAGTGTTGAGAATGTTGATGATGTCATTAAAGGGGCCAGTAAGGAAGTTGTTTCTGTTATACCTGTTGGAGATAATGATCTAAATTGGATAAAGTGTAAGGAGATACTAGAAAAGAACAAGAAACTGATACAGGAATTTAAGTCTAGTAATCATTGGTTGATTTTATCAGTGGTGTTTCGAAAGTTTAATTGTGGTAAGGAGGTTTGGTGGATGAACTTGTGAGATGTATTTACCAGAGTGAAATATTCTAAGAAACAGTTGGTCTACATTAAAGTAGGAGGAGAGATTGCTTTTTTTTGCAAAGGCTATTAACTGAGTTATTCATGAGATTTTCAACTATCATTAGAAGTGGTTAGGTGATAAATGCTAATTTGAAGGTATTTGAAAAAAAAAAGTAGTTTTTATTATATATATACAATGAAAATTGTAGGAACATTTAGCAGTGTAAGACTAGAGGAAAGGCAGCTAGTCATCACCATCCACTGCCAACTCTTGGGCTACTCTTTTACCAACGAATAATGGTATTGACCATCACATTATAATGCCCCCATGGCTGAAAGAACGAACATGTTTGGTGGGACGAGGATTTGAACCCGTGAACCACAGATTGCGAGTCAAGCTCCCTAACCACTTGGCCATGCTGGGCCAAAAGGAAAAATGTCATACTTAAACTTGGAATGGTTTATAAATGAAAATAAATGGAGAATTAAGTAAAAACATTACACATACTTAGAAAATTCAAAAAGATTTGATAGAATGAAAGACTTACAGGAAAATAAAAGAATAAGAGAATTAGTTAAAAAGGAAGTGAGGAAATGAAAATGGATTTATGATACAATGTCAACACTAACAATGCAGACTTTTTAAGCATGTTAACGTTAAGAAGAACAAGAATATTAAAATAGAGGTTGCACCTTTAAATAATCAAGATGTGAGAAAACTAAATGTTTTTTGGTAGTTTTTATTTGGTAAGATGTAAAGTTCAAACAATAAATAAATCTCCCTTCAGCAGATTATCTGATATCCCTTACTGAAGTTAGGATAAAGTCAAAACTGCTGAGCTTCAAGATTGAGCTAGATTATATTTATTCTATGAAAATGAAGGAAACAAAAGAGCAGGATTTTGGACCATTAAACTTGAGTTTTGTAGAGGAGGGGCAACTGGCCTCCAATTTATTCACGACAATAAAGACAAAAGAAAGAGTGAATAAACTGACAGATCAATGGCATTAAGTATCTGACTCGAGGGGGGGGTTAATAAATGTATTCTTTGGATAAACTGGAGATATCTACTTCCAGAAGAAAAATTCCCTTTCTGAGGGGGTGTCACCATTTTTATTGCCTTTGGGTAAAAGGTGTTATTCAAAGTCTTTATTCTCTGTATCTCTTTCTCCTCAATCAACTTCGGGCATGAGCTAATGTATGAAGGGAAGAAATCAGAGAAGCTGACAAGGTGTATTTTTCCAGTACTCTTAGCTATTGTGGCCTTCACCACCATAATGAGCACATATCAAAGAGTCAGTGCAAGATATTTTGGAGTCTCCAAACTGCTGACATTAAAAAGATTGTAGTAGGTTTGGAAGTTAACATTTTCCCAAACTGAAAATGTATTTCCAATAATACTTATCTCCGCTGACACTTCAACTATTACTCAATCTACAGGGTTTCCACTCTTTGCCCATCTAAGCATTGAAAACGATTGCTCCAGTCTTTATATACCCTGCTCAAATGCCTTTGGCAAATTCTAATTCACAAATTCTCCACCAACTTCAATGCACCCTCTATCTAGGTACTGTATATAAGCACCTCATTTAGATATTGTAATCACTTTTTTGAGACATAAACCAGCTTTTAGTTGGAAGGCAGGGTGTCAGCAAAAGTAAGTATTATTGGAAATATATTTTCAGTTTAGTTTAGGAATGTATACAGAAATCATCTGTGTAGAACAGAAGTGTACCAATATAAAGATGGTACACGAGTGGGGAACCGCACTACATCCAGAACAGGAATGCTCTTCACTAAGAACTCAGTTCCTAGATCAAAGGTGGAATAGAATACAAGTTATTTGTCAGTAAAGGCCAGCCCCAATCAGATAGCCAAGGTTCCACAACTTGGGGCTGGAATTAAGGGATATGGTACCTATATCCCACGTTGGTGGCTAGGGCTATTGGACTGCAATATTATATATACTTTTAATTGGATCCTAACCTGTAGCCATAGAGTGATGCATTTTGCACCACCAGAATCACAATGAGAAATTATGCAACATCAAAGTGGACAAACTTTCTCCTCCACCTGAAGTAGTCCAAAAGGCAACACCCCAGGCTCGGAATGACAGGATTGTGTATGCCATACTCAGCGAAAGGAACAGAACTCATCCAGTCTGGAATTATGAACATTCATCCTCACTCTCCAATCAAGTGGACAAGGAGTACTCCACTTGCCCATAGAATTATGGAGAGGACATGGAACCTGTACTCAACCAAGGACACAGTTTGGGACCACATCACATTCAGAATTATGAGGAGATAGTGGACCTCCGTCCATGAACAATATACGAAACTGATATTGATCAAAGAGAAGAGCCATGAACCCTCCAACCGAATAGCTTCGTGTCAAATCTGAACCAGAACTACAAGTAGGCTCCTGCGGAGGCTGGTGCCACTTCTACTGACATCTGGGGAAATCATCCAGGGACCTGAGTAGGAGGCCTCCCAACTTTGCCCTCTTCTCCAAGAGTAGAAGAACACACACTAACACACTGGAGGAAAATCCTCTGTCCGCTGCTCCAAGGTAAAGACTCCCAAGCTCCACCAGTAGAGTCTGGGGGGGGGGGTGAAGGTAATACATGTTTGGGAGTCTTAAGGAACAGTGCTCTGAAAACTGTGCAATAATTGAACCAAGTTATCTACATTTTTAAAAGCAAACCAACTCCGATTTATTCAACCTGAAGATTGGCAGGGATGGGTAGGATCCCCTTTACCTTTACTCATGATAGTCCGTGAATGGCAGTCCATGATAAAAAGGTAATACCATCCAGTAAGTGCCTAGATGGTCTTATGGAACACCCCATTTCAACAGTCTATTGCAACCTGTGGTAATTATAGTGAAAGTGGTTGCTAGTGCAGAATTGAAAAGACAACTCATATCTGCCTGGGCAACATTCGCCACAGAGTGGGATACAGTGAAAAATAAAAGGGATACTAAAAATAAAAAAATTATGTGATTGAAGAATTACTCACCCCTGGTTAAAATCTAACAGATGTGGTCAAAAT